AATCCTGCTGCGTCGCAGTTGTTGCTAACATTGCCCGGCTGGACAGCGGCTGTTGTTTTCATCGCGGTAGTATCTGCTGAAGAAAAGCTGGTATACTCTTCAGAGGTCATTGATCTTGTAGTTGGTACGCCATCGATAGGCGCGAATATTGAAACCTGTGCATTATGTGATGTGGGACCGATGGAGAGCGGGTTTGTCGCAAGGACAGCAGTGTTATTCAGGATAGAAGAAGCGACGTCAACCATGATACGAATAATGTGATACAATATGACCGATTGGTGATCTGGATCGTACTTCTGAAAGAAGGAGATCACAGCGCTGAGAAGACTGAGGTCTTGCGTGGCACTGGAAGCCATCTTATTGTGGAGAATGTTGACGAATAGAACGTCTGCGGACCAAGCTACCTGGTAAAGGAGGTATCTGGATCGCATTATTAGGTCGGGTCAGCTGGCTATAAGATAGTGCGGCTTACGGTGTGTACGGATGTTCTGTCTGATGATATCCAAGGAGTGAAATTGCCGCTCGAGAGGCAGAGACGCAGAGAGCCAGAGAAGGACCGATATTGTCGGGTTGGATGCCTTCTCGATCCTCTAAGTATGGAAGACGGAACGCTGCGGAATGAATCGCCACCACCAGTTGAAAGTACGTGAAGTGCAGTGTCGTAAGACAAGCCATCCGTCTATAGTCTCCGTCAATAAGGCATTCGAAGCATTCAGGGTGAATCACCTCCGGGATGCCTCGCCTCCATTCTTCGAGTTCAGAGTCAAGACGAACAATCTGAGCCTCGAGCTCCGATGATGAGACTTTGGCGCTTGAGTACAGCTCTGACGAGATCCGTCCTTGTATCCTCGCTAGACGGACCTGTTGCAAAAAGAAATTGAGAGAAGCGTTATTGGGAAAGTGGTACATACTATACCCATCTGCTGGGTACTCTTCTGGTAGGTCGAGTAAGAATTCATCCTTGATAAGTGGGGGCTGGCCAATACGAAGCATAAGGTCATGGTCGAGAATATAAGCCTGCCAAAAAAGCCGACGACGATGAAGCCGATCTGACGGGCTCAAAGTAGACGGAGTGAAGGCTGTGCGAAAGGTTTCTGGACGGTGATAGCCAGACATCAGAAGAAGCTGAACAGCGAGACCCAAAAGAGACTGGGCAACATGGTTTTCGAACGTGAATTTGTAGAATAGGACCTGGAAGATTCAGTACAGGCAATCTTCAGACGGAGGGCGCGTTCAATTTACCATGGATAGGAGCGAGCCGATTGTCAATGGCGAAGGCGATCGAATGACCACATTGGGAATCATGCCCAGAGCATTGTGAATGTATTTCTTGTAGACAGCCTTGTTGCGCATGCGACTTTGTTTGCGAAGGGTATAGGCAAGCATGACGTTTACAGCCATCCACCAGCCAGGGTCTTCGATGCGTTGCCCAAGCAAATAGGATCGCATGGCGGTTTGTATCTCAGACTCCTGAAACAGCCTGATGCTCATGTTCGTCGTTGCCATGTATCCTACGGCTCACTTTAGTTAAATTTGGTTCCTCATCATGCGACTTAGATGCATTATGATGGCGTCTTTACCGTTCACGCAATCAGCAACGACTTGATGGTCGGGCAGTGGGTTATTCATATCCTCAGGCTGCAGGTAGGAAGCAGAGTGCAGGCTTTGAAATTGACGCCGGAGGTCGTTCAATGCATCGGTGAGTCTTGAGTCGCCAACCAGACGTTCGACCTGTGCTAGACCTTGACGTGAGAGCAGAGAGCAGGCACCTAGACAGTGGTTAGTTTGTTACCGTGTTGCTGATGATCACGTTTCCGGAACTCGTGATATGTCAATGAACGACACAAGGATGTGTGTTCATATGGTGTAGGGATCCCCGACTTACCTGTTGCGGAGATGACCTGCGGATGAGGAGCCCTCACATAATGCGCCATCCCCTCAGTGGAGGTGCTGGAAGGCATTGATGGACGCTTGTCGGATTGTCCAGTCGGCGAATTCACATCAGTGGCGCTCCGACACAGCAGTGTTAGTCCAGTTGTCGAAGCAGAGACTGCAGAATCCGGTGGGTCGAGCGCAGTGTCTGGCGATGATACATTTGATTCTGGTTTGATTTCGACCGGCGCTGCTTCATTGACCCGGCATATCGTCGCGGGTCGATTCTTTATTAACACCTCCTCCACTAAAAACTCCATTTGAGCCAATCTCTTGGCGGAATGATCGTATAGGCTTTTTCTGGAATTACGTTAATAAAATCCCCCATGTTCGGAGTATCAGATAGGCAACCTAGTGGACACCAGGAATCACCATGACACACGTTGGAGGAACTGAGGTGGATTGTGTGATCAGGACTTACAGCCTTCGACGTTGTGTTGGGTGTCGGCCCTGAGGCCAGGTGCAATGCAGCCCGAACCTAAGACAGTGGGAGCAGTCTGGAGTTTTGTGATCGCATTTGACCTGCAAAGTGCGATACCAGATCGCCGGTTCACTGTTAGTCAATGCCCTTAGGTCTCATCTCAGGCGTGCAGGCGACCTGATGCTACTGCCTCGACAGCAACTTACGACAAGCCTGGGTAAAGCTTCAGCGAATCACACGCTGTCTTCACGTTCACTCAAGACAGACGCATCATCTACTGCCTGGAACAACCCGGACCAGTTACATGGAAAGTATAGACATACCTTGCGATGTCGACACGGAATGCAAGCTAATGGACGAGGCGGACGATGCGCGTCAATCTTGTGGTTCGCAACTTCTCCATTGTGAAGGGGTTGCTGATGGTCTGGACTCCGCTCCGCGACCTCTCTCGAGTTGCCTCGTTCTGGGCTATTGTTGGTGCCTGATGTGGCCGGCTCTGATCCATGTTTGTCTGCCATTTTCGTACCGACTCTGCTTGATTGCACACGCAGTTTGATGCAATGGCCAAACTGAAATCGTCCGGAAATGAACTGTCGCTGGCTAGCTTTCTGAGTCAACGCACTTCAGCAATGGGTTGAAAAAAATCTGCTTGGCAGTGCTGGTGATTGTTGGCGATCGCTTCGTATACACGTTGCTAGGCACGCAGCTTAGGGGCGGAAATTAATTTTCTCCGTCTGTATGGACTGGACGCAAAACGGTGTCTGCACCGGTAATGGAGTTAGGTAAAATCCGGGAATAGTTGGGTCTAAGAATACCGGAATGCACTTGGAGCTCATCGCAAACCTTGTTGGCATCCACAACATCATTGCGTCGGACTTGGGGCGAACGGATTTCGGAGAGCGTCGGCAATCTGTGATTCTCAAACTCCAAGCTTCCGTCTGGCTAAAGGCATGACCCAGACAAGTCTGGATCATCACACAAATACAAAATGATACATAAACTCTCTATTCACCTCAGCTTAACATGACTCGGCACATGGATTGACCTTCGCACGTTCAGTTGTCCTTCCTTTATTACCAACTATTGGCGTATGATCTAGTAGCCTTTCAATATGACCAAGAAGGTTCTTATTGTACTCACCTCTTGTGGCACAATCCCAAAGAGCGGCAAGCCCACTGGCTGGTATCTGCTAGGTCCCCTACGCTCTTGAAAAACTTGCTCCCCGCCCAGATCTAATGGACATCTTCAAAGCCCGAGCTCGCTCATCCATATGATGTTCTCAGAGATGCTGGAGTGGAGCTGGTCTTCGCGTCCCTTGAGGGCGGGATTGCACCCCTTGATCCAGCTTCCGTCAAGGTCTTCGGCAACGATTCATCATCTCCGAATTTCCTGAAGAATCATCAACACAATTGGGAAAACACTGAACGCCTTTCCATGTATGCTGGTAGGGCATCTGAATCCGACGCCATTTTCTTCCCAGGTGGACATGGTCCGATGTTCGGTCTGGCTTTCGACCAAGGGAGTCTGAAACTCGTCGCCGACTTTGCCGCACAGAACAAACCTATTGCTGCTGTATGTCATGGGCCTGGAGCTATCGTGAACGTCAAGAATCACGACGGCAGCCATTTGCTCGAGGGAAGACACGTGACCGGGTTTAGGCATATTGAGGAGGGCAAGGCTGGATATACTTCAGAGATGAACTTTTTACTTGAGGATCGTATCAAGGAGGTGGGCGGCAAATATGCCACCGCTGATGCTCCTTTCGGAGAGATGGTAGTCACTGATGGCATTATAATTACTGGTCAGAATCCAGCGTCTGCCTACGGCGTTGGACAGACTATTGTTAAAGCCTTGGGTCTTTAGTTCTTGCCAAAATGACAGCTTATGTATTTAATTATGGCTGGTTTTCTGTTTTCTTTTCTTAACAATTGCTTGCAGAGCGCCCGCATCACAAACCCCCCCCCCCCCGAAACACCCATAAACGCGGCAGCAACGGTAGTGCTGCCACACGTTTGCATGACTACGTGTGTTACAGTCAGCCTTGAGGCGCGAGCGGCTTCACACGACTCTTATACTATGCGCACTGCCAACAATTAGTCTTATCGCAATATTGTCGTGCGGGACTAGAAGATCTGGGAGTCTTCTGTGCCAACTAAGCAGCCAGTCCAGATCTGCCTTTCGCTTTGTTCAGTAAAACCTCGTCTGCTGTCACCCTCGATATCGTAGTGCCTGAACCTGATCTACAAGAACGGGCCATCGGAACGCGACTACAAAATGTGATAGTAAGCTGAGTTAAAGTGGTAGTGTACTTTTCGAGGTTGTAGACGGTTTTAGCGGTGATAACGGCTTCTATGAAGTCCGCTCCAGGTTCCCCGCATGCAACCCACCTTTGAAATGTCGATGAATCGCGCAAAGCGAAGAACCACTTCACCGTCATTTTGTGGGTAATCGTCTTCGACTTCGCTCTAACAACGGGATCAGCCTCCAACGCGAACCGAGGAGTACGGACTGGAACGAAGCAGTAAAGACCGATGTAAGAATGCATTGCCGTTTCCTTGGTTGTAGAATTATTATAATTACCGAGAGTTGTTCACGTAGACTACCTCATTTCTGGCTTAAATATTGAGAACACCACACACTAGCGATCATGGCTGTCCAGAATCAAGTTGACAACAGTATTGACCTTTCACTTCTGCATCACGTTGGGATGTTCATGGGTTTTATGATTGCGTTTGTCAGTACTACCACCACTCTCCCCTCTCTCGCCGTATTTTTTTTTTTTTTTTTGCGTTTTCTTTCTCATCCTTTTCAACTCTTGACCTCAACTCCCCTGTACTCAGCTGACAACTTGGGCAATCCTTCAGATAATCACGTACCAATTATGTCTCATCTTCTACAACCTGTTTTTCCACCCTCTCGCCAAGTATCCGGGTCCCCGACTGGCAGCAGCAACTCCCTTGTGGGTTATTTGGTCCTACTACAAAGGCAAGACACCGTGGGATCTTTTGGATCTTCATAACAAGTACGGGCCTGTCGTCCGAACTACGCCAGATGGGTTGTCATTCATCAACGCCAGTCAGTGGAAAGAGATATATGGCCATAAACCCTCTGGAGAACTCGAGTTCTCGAAGGATCCAAAGTATCACGCGGGCTGGAAAGGAGAGCCAGTCATTCTCAATGCCGATCGTCATTATCATGGCTACATTCGCAAGCTTTTTGCTCATGGTTTCTCCGAAAAGGCTTTGAGAGAACAGGAACCAATCCTGCAGGAGTATGTCGACCTCTTGTTTCACAGACTTGACAGCATCAGCCAGAGCGAACAGCCTATAGACCTCGTACAATGGTTCAACGTGAGTACCCGGAGATTCTAATGACTGGGCCCGAATGAGAAGATATCGATGTGGTACGGTTAATGTGCTAATCGAACACATCTCAACCGCAGTATTTTACATTTGACTTCATCGGCTACTTAAGTACGTCACGATACGTTCCCACTTAATGTTCATTCCTACTTATGGTAATGCCTAACTTGAGCAATCAGCCTTTGGCGAGTCCTTTGAATGTCTCGAGTCTTCCAAAATGCACACCTGGGTGAACATATTCTTCTCATTACTGAAGAATATGGCGCTGCATCAAGTCGTTGCCCGTCTGCCGAAGTTAGCTCAATATCCTGCTTCTCTGTTAATGATTCCAAGTCAAGTAGTGACACAAGTCGCGACTCTTAACACGCTACAAAAGGTTGAATCCCTTCTGTTCTGTGTCTCTTTGGCTTGACTATTGACACCACTCAGGAAAAAGTCAATCATCGTCTTAAAACACAACCTCCAGTGCCGGACTTCATGGAAAAGATGATTGCTGCACATGAATCTGGCAAAATGTCATACCACCAGCTAGAAGAAAACTCACAAATCCTGATCGGTGCAGGAAGTGAGACGACAGCTACTCTCCTTTCTGGTAAGCAAGATCTTGGCCCAATGCTTTGGCGTGTGATCAATTGACTTTCTTGCAGGTCTCGTTTGGCTTTTGCTCAAGCACCCACGGGTCTACGACAAGCTTGCTACCGAGATCAGGACGATGTTCGAAAGGCCTGAGGACATCACAATGATCAGCGTCAACGAATGTCGGTATCTGCTTGCCTGCATCGAAGAGACACTGCGCATCTACCCCCCTTCACCACAGCCTCATCCGCGTGTTATCCCTCCTGGCGGTGCAACAGTGGACAATGAATTTCTTCCGGAGGGCACATTTGTCAGTATTCCGATCTATGCCGCCTCGAACAGTCCTATGAACTGGACCAATCCTGAGGAGTTCGCGCCGGAGCGTTGGATCGGAGAAGACGCAAGATTCGAGAATGATAAACGAGATGCGTCGCAGCCTTTTCAGTACGGACCACGCAACTGCATTGGCAGGAATCTAGCATACGTTGAGATGAAGATCATAATGTCTCGACTCCTGTGGCACTTTGATGTCATGAACGCAACGGATTATAATTGGATGGATCAACGAGTCTTTGCAGTGTGGGAAAAATCACCTTTGTGGGTGAGACTTTGTCCCGCAAAACGCACTTAGTACAAGTGACAAGATGGAACCAATTTGCTGGCAGGCAGAAAAGACTCACGAGGGACACCAGGCTTTAACATAGATGATATCTCACGCCCTAAATAGACTGATATGGGTTTCTGCGTCTATCCGTCTTCGCCGTTATCTGTCTCATCAACCCTGAACAGCCCATACTTGTGATGTTCATCTACTTTCTATGCTCTTTTGAAGCCCTTCAGCTCTTTATAACGTGAGCATGGGTATCTGTGATATTGGTGCGATTCGTTCCAATAAAGCATCTCCAAGACAGCGTCCTATCAACGGTGGCTGAAGCGCGTCCGTATGATGGACGTTTTGTGGATCGTGGAATGCTGTCTAGAGTGGAATACTAGCCAGACCTCGCGAACGAGGGGTAACCTGTTGTGGAGCTTGAGTAAGCCGCTTTTCTACTCCGCATAACTCTCGAGTGGTCTACCACGATGTGTTTTGACGTCTGACTCGCAAAGCATTGAAGGTGATAGTCGAAGTAAAAGATACAGTAAGGTAACAGATATGAAAATGCAAATCAAGCGAAGGGAATAAGTAAGATGAGGTATCCGTTTATAGTGCTGATAAGTTTTCCTCATAATAGCCAGGTACGTGATAGCTTTTGAGACGGTGTAGCAACATAGGTGGATATCAAACAGGTAGGCTTCGAGGTGAGTCCTGAAATCGTCATCCCCGGGATTTACATATGGGGCAAGACCGAGAAGTCACCATCAGGAGTAATTCACTTTTCTAGTCAAGGAGGGCTCACGGCTGTAGAGCTAAGATAAGGTAGGGGTTGAACCTACGACCCTTCATCATCGGACTATTCTGCTGTCGAGCCTCGGCTGCTCGAACGAGGCGGGGCTTGAATCCTTTGTGATTCTGCTGATGCACTAGCTTGAAGCCACTGACCATCAACTCGATAGGCTTTGTCTAGGGTAATAGGCTCTAACATCAAGCCGAAAGATGGCTGATACGCTGCCTGACAGGGGACTTTGATCCTCAGCAGTATCAAACCGCAGTACCGACGCAAGATAATCGGTCATTCGACTTGTCAAGGACTCCGGGCTAGTCTGGGTCTTTTCGGAAGTCTCTTCTCGCCATTTGTGCGGAAGGCAACCCGTTTTAACGTGGTGTACCGGAACATGAGACAATCACGACTTTTCTCCCCTACCCAATCAAAATCGAGATAGAATCCAAAGTCGGTTCCAGACTAATAAAATTCCTATCTGAAATAGCGCAAGCTGCGAACCAAGAACCGGACTGAAAGTTCACACATACTTCTTTAACCACATTACTCACTGCCTCTTTTCGGTGGCTGCACAAAGTTCGCAGAGTATGCATGGTATAGACGATACTAAGCACAGGAATCCAGTTCTTGGGTCCTGAACAATCTCAAGCCCGAGGAAGTCTCCATGATCTCCGGACTGAAGAAATCTATTGTAGCAGGAACGGACAACCATCGGGGTTCAACAAATTGCAACCAGTGGGTCATCTACACTGGAACCCTATGCTTACTTCGCTCGATCAATTCCTCAACGTATTTCTCAAGGGGGGTGGCTTGGACATCAGGATAAAGTTTCTTCGCGTCTAGATATCCCAAGTATGCAGCATGCTCAAGAGCGTTATCCCTTCGCACGCCCAGCAGGTTAGGCTCTTTCGCAGTAAGGTAGAAGGTTGGCGCAGTCTGTCTCTTGACAAACGTGGAATCCGGAGCAATGTGATTATCCGCTACCACCAGAATTTGCCCCCCCCCCCCCCTCCCAAAGGCCAAGTGATTAAGACTTCTTGAATCTAAAGTGTACACATCATGTTCCTGGAGTGGCAGCAGATGATGATGTTTTGATCCAAAGGGCAACTCGCGACTGTGGTTCTCTCTGCGATGCGAGCGTTGGTGCGACATGCTTGGTTTGTCTACCGTCATTTTCGTACAACCTGTCACATACGACCATACCCATTGGAAAACTCGGGATCCCGTCCGCTCTCCCATAGATAAGCCAATGAGGGCCGGATTAGTAGTTGGGTCGGTGACGACCAGCGAATACCTGGTGTTGTATGTTTTTGACATTGTCTGAATTTTTTTGAAGTTTCACCGATATTACACGATGTGGCCGAGCAGGCGAACTTTGCTGTCTTCGACTAGGTTGACAAGTTAAGTAACTAACATATGACTAATGCAACCTAAGTCTTAGTGGGCATGCACGGACAGCACCGCCTCACCAGCAAAACAAGCCCTCCGCCACAAATCCAATCTCGGCTCACCCGGGGCCTTCGTGGAAGAATTCCCGAACCTCATGACCACGCATATATAACGGCATGGCCGGCCTAATGGTTAACTTCGGCCAGCAACTTATGTAGTTTTCGTCTTGGCAAGCTTTCTCGCTGGAGAATTCTGAAGCTGGTTGTGTTGATTCCACTCGAGAAGCAACTTGTATTGACCGTACTTAGCCAGTTAGCACCATGTCCGCACGAACTCGGTGCAAAGTAAGGTAGTTGAGACAGAGGTTCTAAATTTCTTCAGGTCGCCGCAAGAAATCCCGCCATACTAGTCTGTACTCAAGCTTTGCTACATGTGCCATTCAAAATGCCTTTTAAACGCCTTTAATTCCTAGCATGGTCATCGGCTTCCCAGGACAGAGATTTAACGTGGGGCCCCATGGGCTATTAATACGACATTAGTATGGAGTAGCTCCATCCGCCTCATCCTAGTCACAATCTTATCCCGTTTATGCTTCCACGCCCTAGTGGGTTCTCAACAGGGAGAAGAACGGCGAAACACGAATTGACCAAGGTTCCGGGTCAAGAAACCGAAGCCAGTCCCATTGGTAGGTCTCCTTGCAGGCGAACACGAACATGCCAAGGCATCAGAAAGGGGCCAACTGGTTCTAGCGCGGGGAAATAGAGGAACATCCCGGACGTCTACTTGAGTTGACGAGCCGCATTTTGAACACGAACATGCCAAGAGCGTAGAACGGGTCATCGTGTGACATCAGAGCCGGACCGCATGGGTCAACACCGAAGTTAGAGCAACGGCATCCATATCATCCACTACGTAGGGACCAAGACTAGGCGGAGGGACCCGCCTCAAAGCAGGGCATCTCGTAGGACAGCAGACATAAGAGGTGGTCATGGCCACGATGCCAGCTTCTCCTCTACCTTCTGACCAGTTGTCAAACGTATTCGCTCTATCGCCATCCTCACATCTCCTATCGGCTCGTGGCTTGGGCCGTCCTTCGTTACAAATCAACCCATCCGTCACTCGTTCAACCATCCCTTCACTCCACGATGCTGTCCAGCTCGCTCCTCACCCTCTTCTCGCTCGCAGCAACGGCCGCCGCAACCGCAATCCCTCGCGCAGACACCACCTGCACAAACCCAGAGGTCCGCAAAGAATGGCGTGAACTCACCACAGCCGAGAAAGCAGAGTACATCCGCGCCGCCGTGTGCCTCCGCAACCTCCCCAAAGCCAAATATGCCGCCATCGACGCCGTCACAACGCGCATGGACGACCTTGTCTACACCCACTTCGCTCTCAACACCGACATCCACTTTGTCGCAAACTTCCTGCCCTGGCACCGCTGGTACGTCAAGCTACACGAGGATCTCCTCCGGTCCGAGTGCGGCTTCAAGGGAACGCAGCCCTACTGGGACTGGAGCATCGACGCCGACGCGCTTGATACGCAGCACTCCCCCGTCTTCGATCCCGTCACTGGCTTCGGTGGCGATGGCAAGCGCACAAGTAGCGACGTGCCGGGCTTTCAGCGGTGCGTCGTCGACGGTCCGTTTGCCAACACGAATTTGACATTGGCTATGGGGTGGCCTGATATGAACACGCCCGGAAACCGACTGCACTGCTTCACGCGCGAGTTCAACGGCGGCGAGGGTAATGACGCGAATGGCGATCCTATTATTGGTGATATGCAGGCGGGAGCATACAACTCGAGGACCATGAGCACCATCTACGGTTTCGACAGGTTCCCCGATATGGTCTCCATGCTCGAGGGACTGCCGCATGCGCAGAGTATGTCATCTCTTTTCTTACTTAACTTCGGTCATGCTGACAGACTTGCAGTTCACAGCATCATCTTTGGCGACATGGGTCCCGCCACCTCGCCCAACGAGCCTCTCTTTTTCCTCCACCACGGCAATGTTGACCGTGCCTGGGCCAAGGTAAGTCCCGCACACAGCTGAGCGGAATTACACAAGATGCAGTATCTAATTTCCTTCGCAGTGGCAAGGCCGTAACGCTACCCGCCTCGCCGATTACGCAGGCTTCAACAACGCGGACAAGACCATCTCCGCCTCCATCACAGATACCATGCCCGTTTTGGAACTCGTCGACGTCGAACCCGTTGTCAAGGATTACATGGACACCCTGAGTGGCCCTCTCTGTTACACCTATTCATCTATGTAAGAATTGTGTGAAACTCTGGCTTGGATCCATTTACTACGATTCAGAAGTCAGCAGAGGTATGTAAGTGGCTTCAGATTGACAGGCAGCCATGAGAGGTGCGCCGTGCCTGAGTTACACATGTGATCTTGGAAGTTTGGCCGGTTCAGAAAACATCCGCAGTTTAGATATACCCATTTGAATGCAATAGTTTTTACACGATTTGTTACTCCATGAATCGGCAGGCTTTGCGTGATAGCATTGACATGATCTCTCTCTTATGTCGCCGTTGAGATCCAACTCTTGGAACCCTGTCCAGATGTGTAAGTCGGCCGTTCGCTCCGAGCCAACGCCTTGTCCACTCTGACTTCAACCTCAACTTGTTTCTGGATCCTTGATACCTTACCATCCGTCGCATTTATGATGTCCATCTCTGTGCCGTCGTCCCCCTTGTAATGTGGTACAAGACCCCGTTCGCTGTGATTATCAGCGGCGTCGGAGCCACTACCATTGCGAATGTAACCGGCCTTGCTCCTGGGCACACTCAACCATGGCCCTGTCTTGGAACGCATACCACCACCGCCAGTCCCAGATGGCCCCTCTCCTCCGTAACTTTGTAGCTTGCTGCGGAAGCCCAGCTTGAAAGACATGATGCGGATGAGCGGCTGGAGTGCTGGGAAGGACGCGACCCATAGGCCGACATGCCCCTCAAGGTTGGTCCAGATACCAATCGTGGACATGTTAAACGTCCTAGCGACTGTTCTTAGCTGTGTATCTCGGTGTTCCTTGCAGAGTGGCCTGCAAGGCCAGACTTACGGGTCAGAGAGAAATTGACTCTTCTTCATCATTGCCAGACGAACGCAGCCAGTAGCCACGACAAAGATGCCGACGCTGAAGACACATATCACCTGGAATGCCCTCTTCGACCAGAGCATCTTGGTGTAGATCGCCCAGATAGGTAAGCCCATGAGGCAGAAGTCCAGGACCAAGCCGACGATCTGGTGCACCACCATCATAGTGTTTTGGTATTCGGACGGGACACAGTTCTTCCCAGGAAAGAAGGGCGGCTTCCACAAATGCCTATCGAAGAACAACTGTCAGAGATTGGTGGCCTTATGACAGGTGACTCAGGAGAGACGTACGAGAGAGGGCTGCACTGGGTCAAGCGGTAGATGACACATCCCAGTGTCTGCGCTATGACGAAGAATCCCGTCGTGTAGGATAGAATAATGAAGTTTCCTGTGCATGATATAAGGTTTTAAGTGATACTGGTAGTGAGATCGTATTGGATGCATACTGTCTTGGCTCAAGCGTGGCAGGAAGGCAACGATTGAGAGTCTCATTAGGCCAGTACCGATGAGGTAGAGCAGACCATTCGTGACAATTCCCTACAATCAAAAGACTTATGAGCATCTTTGGAGGGATGAAAGAAGACTTATCAGTTCAGACTCACCTCGAACCATGTTGTGAAGTCAGCCTTCGGGATATACTTGAGATGCGCGCCACTTCCATATTGCACCACTGAGATGGCATTAGTTATAAAACGTCTTTTTTTGATATTACATGAACTCACGCCAGATATCCATTGCAGACTCTGAAGTCAGTACTGCCTAGATGTGCGCAAATCTCAGTCAGAGACCCAAGTAACTCGTCTTCATCCAGTCAAACGGTGAGGTGGCGACTAACCCATGCGAGGAATGCCAGGACGTCGTCCAAACCCAAGGCTTTCGCGATGAAAGCGCGGACATATTGTCTCAATCCCACTATTATAGAAGTGCAAACTATGAGCGCAATATTCAGTTGCAAGATCTTGGGCCCAGCATATCCTGGAGATTCCGTGAAGTGAAGCGGTGAGGTTGCTGCTGTCGCTGCCATCTTGCTGATATTGCAGCCGCGGGGAAACTCGAAAAGCGAGAGAAGAGAAACGCCAGAAGAAAGACAAGGGACAGAAGAGAAGGAGAAATGGAATTCAAACAGCGAGTACCATGTCTGGACTCCAGAATAACAAAGGAAGAATTTGCAATCGAGCAGATGCGTAGACTGCAGGCCGCCCGAGTACCAGGGTATGGGATTTTTCTAATGCATAAGTACCAAGCCAAGGAGTCTCTTCATCACCGCCGTGCCGCACACATACATCGCGAAATGTGACTTGGTTGTGTCTACCATAGGATTCACCGAGGAATGCACTTCGGACATGGATCTCCGTGTACCCGACTCATCCGGTGTATCCGTACCTGCGTCGGTAAATTATGAAATGCGCTTCGAGTCACTACTGGCATGTATCTGAACGTGAAATTGCCTTTGCATCCAGCGCAATATATCACGACCTGAGCTGGTGCGAACGAGGCGCTCTGCTTCTTCTGCTAATCTTCTTCTCCACAGATCCTCTCGGAATCGCATCTACTTCACTTGCCTGTACCAGAGCTTTGAAAGCAATTGGTGAGGACGACCCAGGTCTGAATTGCAGTATCATCGAGATTATGATCAAAACCAACAGCTCATCAAAACAGGCACTAATTCCGGGTTTGTGGGATTAGCCAAGAACTTTTCAGTGGCACCCAATCAATATCAACATGTCCATGAACCATCGAACATTGGCATAAAGATCTCAATTCATAGGAGACTCTTCCCAGACCGTGCCTATTTCTCCCACATTCCGAAGGGCCAACTAGAACGCAGTCGGTTTCAACATGCAGGCGTATCTGCCAAGTGATGGTCAGAAATCATTCCAATCGGCCAGCTTATCCGGTTACCTTGCGTTCGGCTCCAAAGAAAACGAGCGGAGATGACGACCGAACTTGGAAGGCCAATCTAGAAACCCTTGCCAACGACAACCAACAGTCAACAACCAACAGTCAACAACCAACAAACGGCATACATTTTCTTGCTCTTTTGGTGAACATCTTACGATCAGCTACATGTCGTGGTTGTGATAGGGTCGCTTATACTGTCCCTACGGGATGGCTCCACCAACGCCACGAACCAACACAGCTACTCCAGATTTGATGCCACGACTGCAAGTTTGCATTCTGAAAACCTAACTTCTGCCATGAAGCCTCTCTAATTCACTTGAGAAGCTTTGTGGCATTGTGGAAGTCGCCATGTATTTGAGACTTTGGGGTCAACTCAACATCAGGCACGAGAGCCCCGTCAAAGTGGCATTTCTAGCTATTAGCAATGCGGAGTTGGTTGCAGAGAGCTTCGTGACCCGGGGCTCATACGATTGGACAGGGAACCAGCCACGAACGTTCACGGAGACCTTGGCAGGGATAGTGTACCAACCTTCTTTCGACGCCGCACACTAACGCAAGCATCCTGCAGGTTCCTTTCCTTTGCCTGCAGATTGCAAGGATATTCGTCTTTTCCAGCATTCGGCGCTGTCCTCCCCCGAGGAGCGGCCGACACACCGACGAATCATTTTAACCCCTTCAGCAAAACCATTTCATTCTTCTCTGTTGAAGATTTGCGATTCGAAACCTTTTCTTCAAATTCATGTGACGAGAAGCTGAGTCAAGTTTGCGATCCAGCACAGAGGAAGGGCCCATGGATTGCGGCACAGCCCGAGCGATCCTTCGAGTATCATATTTCTGATAAACATTGATGGTGGGTCGGCCGACTAAGTTGCAAGTTGCAACTCAACCGCTTCCCGAAAGCTCCGTCGCCACATCCACTACTTAGTCGATGGCAAGGTTACATCCCACAACCCGGTGTCCTGCAACCAGGGTCGCGATCCATGGCCCGACATGGACCGATAAGACCAGTATCTCTCGGGGTGAAAGTTGATATCCGGTTCCTCTCGACCTAGCGCTTTGCTACCAAAAGGCTGCGTATGCCCATCTCAGAAGCTCGCTCGAAGTCCATCCCCAATTGATCGGACGAGTCCTATGATTGGTCGCGCGTGAAGATAGCCTCACATTCAACGACTCTCTCGCAACGGCCTCTATCGCCTTCATCTAGACTTCCGCCATGTGGTCTCTCTCGTCACTTATCTTGGCTGCCGCGTCTTTTGCGGGCTTCCAACTGCAGGGAATCGCTGCCGCTCCTACGAATGGAACTCACTCAGGATGTTGCCGCAACCCTCTCGTCAGACATGAGTGGCGGCAGCTGTCCCTGGACCAACGTCTGGATTACATTCGCTCCGTCAAGTGCCTAATGGCTCTGCCGTCAGAGGGAAACGATCTTTGGCCTGGGGCAAAGTCTCGCTTCGATGATTTCCAGGGTATGCATATCTACATGACGCAGAAGGTGCATTTTAACGTAAGTTCTACCCTCAATGCTTTAGCCAAAGTAAGGCTATATTAGAATTGGAAAGTCTAACAGTTGATCGTGACAGGGTCCATTTCTCCCGTGAGTAGAAGATGTGCAATGCTCGGATCAAGTTTGACGTCCGTTTCAACTGACAGTGCCCAGATGGCATCGTTGGATGCTTTACCTATACGAGTCTGAGTTACGCAACAAATGCTCATATGACGGCGCACTTCCGTACTGGGATGTCAGCCTAGACAATACTGCGGAAACTTTCGTCAACTCGCCTGTATTTGACAACGTTTACGGCGTCGGAGGCAACGGACCATACATCGAAGACGTGAGCGATAAAGATGAGTTCCCGGTTCAGAAGCCGATTACAATCCCGGGCAGAAGCGGCGGCGGAAACTTCTTCACTCCAGAGCTTGGCACAGTGGCATCTGGCTAACAGAGTGGATAGGCTGTATTGTGGAAGGACCATTTGCAAACCACACCGTCCCCATGGGCCTTGGTAAGTTGCGTTGTCTGGCCTCAGACGACGATTGAGTTTAAAACTCGCCATGCTGACGGGCTAAGGATTATCTGTCACCTCAACACCCCACTGCCTGCGCCGCGATTTCAGTCTACCCATCATCACGAGTGCCCTTAGTGACGAGGTCATCGACAAGACTCTCGCAGCGGCCACATTTTCCGAATTCAACCTGGCCATTCAGGGGTATAGCATGCAGGTCAGCGGCATGACTTTGCATGCGGGCTTGCACATTGGCATTGGCGGTGCAGTTGGCGATGTAAGCAGCCGTGACTACCTGCTAGACTGATGGTTTCTGGTTGACAACTTGGCTGACCCGTGATCACCCGTTAGTGTGCTGACATGTACTCCTCTCCCGGAGACCCCGTCTTCTACTTCATCCATAGCGCTTTGGATAAGGTTTGGAATGACTGGCAGCGTAGAGGTACGTCTACTTCCTTTTCGGTCTGACTGGATAGTCGCATTTTTGTTTATGACTAATTGCAAGTACTAATAAACCCTTGCAACGTTGCAGACTGGCCTGCGCGCAAGACGGATATCGGCGGCCCGGATGTGATATTTGGCTATCCGTTCAATTACACCACGAATCCCGCCTACGAGAATATCACTCTGCAGTATCCCTTGTCTTACCCTAATTTTGGCAAGGATATGATTGTTGCTGATATGATGGATATTCACGGGGGTCCTTTCTGCTACGAGTACAAATGAGCGCGCCCGGGGACGGCCTGCAGGCGATGAAAATACTAATGCTGCAGCGAGGGCATCGATCAGACGCCTCGCTAACATCAAGTACTGAAAGTACCTGGAGTAATAATATAATGTAACATTTGACATTAGACTCTCGTTCTTGAGGAAGTGGAAACATTTTGTCGTCACATACACTGCTAGATGGGATTCACTGACACGTTAAGAACCTATTATCCCATCCCGATGGAGCAAGACTGCCACCAGCAGACAGTTATGACCTTGGTAGCGTGCTTCGTTGACTCATTCACACATCCATTAGGCTGACCAAGAAATCTAGATTTAGATCTTTGTGATTTTCAGGCTAAACAGCGTTGACCGACCATAACCCTTGGCGATTTGCTCCCGGGGTTTAGGAAGCCCCCACCAGCGGCGGGATATCCGAAAGCTAACGTCGGAACTCCATACGACACGTGCAAGTGATCAGCCTCCTTTCTTCTCGCCTTTTCTAAAAGATGATTTCTTTTTTAGCTCAGGTTCGGCGAACGGCGTAACGTTTTGGCTTGCGTCTGTCCAGACCCGACTTCGGCTCGAGGAGAGCCAGGAATGAAAGGCCACGTACCTTAGGGCCTGTCTCGGCTACTCGTAGGATTCCAAAGGCAGTCACTTAAAGTCATGGTAGCTTCTAAGATCAAAACACTACAGGCTGAAGTTCACGATCCAACCGCACCCAGCCATATCAAATGAGGAGGAACGTGTAAGTTTCACCGGCTGGGGACAAATGCCGTCCCACCACCTCAGCTCAACGTGCATGAACCCCCTCATCCCATCCGCCACACTGAGACAACACACCAAGCTTTTCCTTGTAGATGAGGAAGGCGTGCGCTAGGTGCCCCAAGCTCCAAGCTGGGAACGCCACGCTCATATCCTCTTCTACGGTCTCACCTCAGCCGCAGAGGCCCAGCCCCACGGCACCCTCACCTAGCGTGACCACTACCTGGAGCCTGGAACGCAGCGTGTAAGCACTGTCATGCCGCAGGAACATCTGCCGCTTCACCCTCTAGAATGCTCTGGCCTGTTAATGTCGTGTCCCCATTCCCCTTGCTGGGTCGCGTGGCTGATCCAGCATGGTGGTTCGCTTACCTAGTGTGGGAGCCCAGCGGCAGCTCTAGTGCCGAAGATGGCGCAGATTAAGGAAGCTTGAATCTCCGTATCCATACGAGATCCCCCTCTGGATTCGACCAACCGCTTGGAATTAGGCTTGTCAGCTTATAGCTTTGGTCCACAGATGTAGGTATCCCAACTGTGATGTTAGCTTCAGACAACCACTTTCAGCCCTCACCGCGCCGTTGGTGCCGCTAAACCCCAAGTCCTCATTTTTGCCGGGCAGGGCTGACTGTCTAAACTCAGTTGGGCCTGTTTGGAAAACAATCTCCATGGTAGAGTTCAGGAGATCAGCGATGCCCAAACTCTCCCGACTGGTCGGGGGATACGCCGCTCCCGCCGTGTTCCCCTTTGGAGATTATCTGGTGGCGTGTGGCACGCTGCAATCACCCTAGTGGTCGTAACTTAAATGGCAATCGTCTCCCTTCCCCTCAATTCTGTTGTCGATCTTCATGATTCCCATCTTTCCCAAGTCGTGGATCGCATCGCCAGATATCATGGCGCCCACAATCGATACCCTCATCATCGGCGCAGGTCCCAGCGGACTCTGCGCTGCAAAGACGCTCCTTCAGCATGACCCAGCCGCCGAGATACTCATCCTTGATGGCCGCGCCTCGGTCGGTGGTGTCTGGTCGAAAGAGCAGATCTACCCGAACCTGAAGACGAACAACCTTGTCTCGGCGATCGATTTCTCAGACTTCCCTATGGACCCCAAGCGCTTCGGGGTCAAGATCGGCGAACATGTTCCTGGCAAGGTCATGCATGAGTACCTCGTCGCATACGCAAAGCACTTTGGCGTCTGGGACAAGATCCAGTTGAACACAAAGGTCGTACGGTTGACTCGCCCAGAAGATGAAGGGCAATGGAACGTCGACGTTGAAAAGAACGGCGAAGCAAAGACCGTGACCTGCACACGCCTCATCGTCGCAACGGGCGTTCTCACCGTACCACACATGCCCGACATCACCGGCTCCGAAGACTTCAATGCTCCAATTATTCACTCTTCCGATCTTGGCCCCAAAGCAGACCTGTTCTCTTCTCCCAAAATCACGACCGTTGCAGTCCTAGGCGGGAGCAAGTCTGCCTACGACGCCGTCCACTTGGCTGCATCTACAGGCCACAAGGTCCGGTGGCTTATTCGTCGTTCCGGCCGCGGACCTGTGTGGGTTGCACCGGCGTTCACGCAGCTCGGGCCGTTCAAGGTCTGGCGCGAAAGGCTTGTGACTAGGAGAATCTGCGCGTTCATGTCGCCGTGCGTGTTTCCTGACTTCTCAGGTCTCGCATGGGTGAGACGGTTTCTGCATGAAAGCGCTGTGGGCCGCGTGTTGAGCAAGACTTTTTGGAAGTTGATCCGTCACGACACGATCAATGATTGCGGATACCAGACGGACGAGAAGACGAAGGTGCTGCAGCCGGAGCAGAACATGTTCTGGTAAGCTTAGCTTCTCATTATGGTTGTCAATAGCCTGGTAACTAATCCCATTCCTTCCACAGGTACGGCACTGCTTCTGGTATCCTCAGCTTCGACGACGATTTCTTCGAGTATGTCCGCAACGGCACGGTCCAAATCTACCGCGAAGACATCGATCACCTATCCGACCATAATATCCACTTCACCGACGGCTCAAGCATCTCCGCCGACCTCTTGGTCACATCAACCGGCTTCTCAGCAAAGCCAACCATCAACTTCGAACCTGCATCTCTCCATTCCGATCTCGGCATCCCCTCCACATCTCTAGGACTCAAACAAGAAGCATTCTGGAACGACGCAAACGCAAAGGCGGACGCCGCCATCGGCGCGCGCTTCCCACGCCTCCTAGACGGCCCTTTCCAAAGCCCCACATCCTCAAAGACAAAGTCCTTCAACCCCGGTGCGTCAGCAGAGGTTTCCTACACCCCCTGGCGCCTCTACCGCGGCATCGCTCCCCCAGGCCTCGCCGCTCGCGACGACCGCTCTCTCGTCTTCCTCGGCGCCTTCAGCAACCTCGCCAACATCATGCGCCTCGAGGTGCAGTGCCTCTGGATGCTGGCGTACTTTGAAAACGGGATCCCCAACTTTGACGTCGACCGCCGCGCGGGCCGCGTCTTTGAGGAGACGGCGTTGTTCCAGCGGTGGGCGCAGCACCGGGCGCCGTACGGGCACGGTCGGTGTTATCCGGATCTGGTTTTCGATCAATTGCCGTATTGGGATATGTTGCTCGGCGATGTCGGGGTGGAGACGGCGCGGAAGGACGGCATGTGGGCCGAGTTGTTTGAGAGCTACACGCCGATGGACTACCGGGGCATGGTGCAGGATTGGATTGACCAGAACCGATAGACGTCTACCTGACACTGTGACGATGATGATACCCGTAGGTGTAATGATCAATGAACATGCATTAGTAAGAGACATGATATGTGGTTTAGTCTTTGTGTCCTGAAGCCCGCTGGAGATGTCCGCCTTGTTTTCATCTATCAAATTGCTTGCATGTTATGATGTAAGCCAAGTCCGACTTCAATCTATAGATCATCAACATAACTGCTAAGAGGAAATATGGCAATGATTCTTGCGCCCGATTTGGGCTTGGCGTAAGCGAAATGCCATTTCCGACTCAGCCGCTCTGTTCTAGCAACATGCGTCAATATTCCAGAACAGGTCTCTGTCCTCAATGTTGGTGATATTCTTCGATTCTGAAAGTCAGTACGGGGCTGCCGGAAATCGATCCGCTAGCATTTAGACTTTGACCATGTGATGAACCTTGGCCTGAACGTCGGCACTCTTTATCTCTGTCACATGTAATACACAGTAGCATTGCTCATACTAGTCCTAGCCTACCCAAAGTACTGTTGCAAATGAAACTCCCGTGAACGTCATGACTTCTGCTACTTTGAAGTACCGAAAGGTAGTTCAGCCAATTGGAGCAGGAAGTCTGCAGCCTACTGGGAGCCTTCAATTAACACAATGCGTCTCGGAAGTATGGGATACGCCGGGAATCCTATTGGCACAATCCTACAATAGCAGCCTTTGCTGATTGCTCGTCAAATTTACGTTTAACATTATCCCCTCTTTACCTCAACAGAAGAAAGGCTCAATCTCATGTTTATAGGCAAGCTTTCTCATGTGAAATCCAGCTTCAGAGACGTGATATGGGCTGCAGCAGTCGGTATAAGAACGCCTTAGATGTATAGCGCAAATAGCCACCTTCAGCACTCGGCAAGGTGGAAGGAGTTGAAGTTGTGGAAAGTGATTGGAGAAGTTTGCGATGATGAATTACTTTGAAGACGGGAAAGACCAAGGTTACATGCACTACGCTCCAGAACTCGTCTACAAGAATGATTTACTGATAATTGCCAGTCCTTGATGAGATGGCCTTTGACGAAGGCCAGGAATTTGAGTTCCTCACTGCTCTCTCCGAAGACGACTATCCCAAGCAGGAGACCATGTCTGGCTTTCAGCCCGAGCCCGCTCAGCACGTGAACTTCAATGCTGATGCGCTCTCTGCCGACCATGTCTACTGTCAGATGTCCTCAGAATTGCCCGCGGGCGGTTCGGTCGGTCCACAGGCGGGCTGCGGTACTCCCAGTGCATCCAATGCTCTTTAGGGCGGAAGCTCGGGACACAGCCAGTACCCCCTGTTTGGAACTGAACCGGATCGTTCGAGAGTGATTGACAATCAAAACTTATCAACACACTCGTTCATTGGCTTGGTATTCCCAAAGGACGCGGTTGACTTTCCCATCGTTGAGGAAGGGAAAGAGACCACGCAGACGGAGTTTGAAGAGGAGGATATACCCCTTGGAAACGATGAAAACTGCTGGTACGGAGTCTACTTCTGTACTCGGCCTGGATGTGACACATTGTTTTCCACACCTGGCGCTAGGAGGTGAGCTCTTTCAAAATTAACAAATACTACTCAGCTCGGCTAATGATCTGATCAGGAAGCATTTCAGGACCCATTGCACACCTGTGATCTGTCCGGTGTGCCCGAAGCGAATGGCCTGGCAGAGAGATATGAGGAAACACTACGATACTCATTTCAAGCGGCCGCGTTACCAGTGCCGGTGTGGAAAGGATTACTCCAAAATGGATAATCTGAACAAGCACATCAAGTCCAAGACGACATCACAGCAGATGGTACAGACGAAACCCATGCGACCGAAGCTTTAAGCATGCACTTTATTTTTTACAGGCTCCTTGTGCTGCAAGACGTTTTCTTTTGATTTGAAGCTGGTAAAACAAAAAAGAACAAGAAAAAACTTGAAAATTCAAACATGTAAAAAAATCAACACAGACAATAAGTGCGGAAGGGAGATAGCAGGAATATAAACACACTCGTTTGGCGTCAAATTTCTAGTCCCTGCTACATCAAAGCTGAGCACCGCCGCCATCATCATCTTCGCCTTCATTATCTTGGAGCGTATTGCCGTTGTCGAGATTTCCAATGTCCCCAGATCCATGTTCCATCTGAACCGCCCCTTGAGACTCGGTTGAAAGATCCAGTAGTTCGATAGCGCTGTCCAAGCTGAAAACTATTGAGGAAGCAACATATCATGTCAGCCGATCGGACTCTTGCTTTGCGTCGCATAGAATACCCAAGGCGCTTACCTTCACTAGATGGACCGGCGTCACTATCATCTGCTCCCTCCGTCTCCGACCCAAATTCACTCTCACCAACCAAAGACGCAGTAATCTCCGTAAACGAGTCCGGACGTTGCATCGTCGTCGCATGTAGCTCGCCCAGCCGATCAATCACCATAGCCTTCAAGTCCCCAATAACATCGTTGATGATCTTCCGCTGGTTGATCCAGCCAGGGTCCTGCTTTCCGCCCACCAAATTCACGATTCCCCAATTTGGGTATACCTTCTGATGGGCGTCAAGCAGAGTGACCCTAGCGGGATGGTGACGAGCATAAGACTCACAGCCAACACACGCCGGCTTGCTGCAGGCGACGTAGCGGTCGTTCGAAAAGTACCTCCTTCCGCTGTCATAGAAATGATGAAGCATCTGGACCTCTGCGTGGACGCATGGCTGGAGTGCGCCCTCTTTGAACTTGTCCTGGATTTGGTCTTCAATTTTGACTTGGGTATCCAGTCGCTGAAGGACGTCCAGGCACGATTGATGCTGGACATTTGTCTCGGGTAGAATGCGGTTCAGGATACGTAGCAACGTCGTGTGCGCATCCGGTTCTGGCACTGGCGCGCTACTGGGACGTTGGACTGCCGCAACTTGGTAGGCTTTGAGAAGTACTTCCATACGGTTGGAGTCATCGAGGAGCTGGTTGATACTGCGGATACGGGCAGCTAGACGGCCGATCATGTGTCTGACTGTACGAAACGCCTCGATAAGCTTTTCCGGACGCAGGTCGTTTTCGGTACCTTGGCCCAGCTGCTCGATGCGCCGCATCTCCTCGTCGTTTCGCGAGCGGTATGCTGTCCGACACAGAGTAGCATGGGAAGACATACTCTCAAATTGTCGGAGCCACTTGACAACCCGGGCATCTAGAATTCGTAAAACCTCAGTCTCCCTAGGTGTTATTGCCTGCGAGGAATAATTGATGACTAACCGATCTCCTCGTCGCTATCTTCCAGAGAAAGACGGCACTTTCTAGCAGAATTACGAAGAATTCTGGCTTCCTGTCGGAGTCGATCAGAGGCAAACGCAGTACACCGAACTAGCAATGCCTCCTCCGCTGTGGCGCGATCCAGTTCGTTGATCGGTTCACAAAACATGCGCAAGGTCTTGAGTACATCTCCAAGGAAATCCACTACTTTATCTCCAGCGCCCTCGTTTGAAGCAACCCAAAAGACGTAGCAGTCATAACGGTTCTCGACGGCGATGGCAGTTGCAGTTCTTCCTCCCTTTCTGTAGTCGCAGAGAAATGCCAAGTTTTTGAAGAAACGTCTTTGAACATCCTGCGTGGTGTAAGTTCCGAGCTGGGAGACGACATGTAGGCCGACGATGGGACGGATGATGAAGAGAAGGAGGAGAGCTTCGTAGAGACGGTAACGGAGGCGGGCGTAGGGTTCCATTCGGGGTGTGAGAGCCATTTTTTGCGAGTTCTCTTCTTGAGTTGACAATTGTGATCCGGGAAATGGAGTCGTGGAGTGTGGTACGGTCAATATGATTGCAATGATGAAGCCTTTGGAGAATCAGCCGAGGATAGTTCAAATCTTTGCACACACAGAATGGCGAAAGCCTGGGAGGACGAAAGGAAGCTAGCCCACGAATGAGGGTCCTCGCCAATGAAGGTCCTCAAGAATGAAGGCCTCCACGACTGAGCATTCCCGTCCGTGGGCCAACTTCCCTTCGTCCCCTGAGGTTTCCGGAGACCCAGATGTGGTGTGTAGTGATGAGAAATGCTTTGCTGATAATGCAGGAGGCCCTCCAGCGTCGATAGTTTGAATCAAATGCCGGATCTGAATTGCCTTTGAGTCTGCAGAAGAGGTGTGTCACAAAGTTTTGGTCAGGATCCTGCCACAGCAAACCTTCTTCTACTATTCGACGTCATCATTCGATAAGAAGCCGAGCCTGCAGTACCTGATTGAATCACATGATGGTACCTTATGAGATAAGGCCTGGAGTTCAGAGTTGCAGACACCCGATTCGAGATTCGACAGTTGCTTAATGTTGCATTGACAGCGCCGCAGGGGCTACCTACGGTCGATAGATACATCAAATCGTTAGCACACACTCAACCTTTTCTCTATTCCTTCCGCGATGTCAACGCACCGCCGGTTCATTTTCACTTCGTCACCACCAGAATCGTTGGCCTTGACCCACCTTTTTTGATATGAATACTAACACTAAGCATGTAATCCACCTCTTTGCCCCAGATACCTCAAGAGTACCCCAGGGCTAGTAAGCCCGCCATATGTTCTTGGGAAAAAAGTTATTGACGCCTCCAGGACATTATGACGAGCAAGAGACAAAAAGAATGGACGATCTGGGAATCGAACCCAGGACCTACCGCATGCTAAGCGGTCATTATACCACTAAACCAATCGCCCATGGCGTGATCTAGCCCGGACTTGAACCGGAGACCTTCAGTGTGGCAGGCGGGAGAATGAATCTCTCGAACTGTTAGACTGACGTGATAACCAACTACACCACCAGACCTTGTTGAGGCGGCGGCCAGAATTTGCAAATATGGATGCAGCAGCAGAAAATTGTGTGCGTGGGAGGTGGGATGTGTGTGTGGTGGAGATTTGTGAAGCGAAAGTAGATGCAGAGGGCGGGCCGAGATGCAGGGTGGCATCCAATGGTCGACTGCCGTTGATTTGGCGTGGACATGGGTCCAAGAGTGGGAATGGGGACTGCAGGGGGATAAGGGAACCGAGAAAACAACATTCGCGTCTTGTTGTAGGATGCTTTTCTGAAGCTACCTTTGCTATCGCTTTGAGTATCAAGGATCACGATAGTTAGGATCGCAAAGCTCGCCATGGCAACAAGTTAGTGCTCCAATATTCTCAGGCAGATGCCATTCTCAAATCTTGAAGGACGTTGCCATGAGTGAGTGCATAACTGTCTAACGGCAACAAGAACAGGCCCTAGCTGTAAGCTCTGACCAATGATCGCGTCCGAAAAAACCCAATCGCGACCTCACGAGCCCAGGGGCATCATCAACCGCGTCAGTCGCGACTCGAGAGTGGCAGAAAGGGATGCGAACAATGAGAATAAGGAACGCCGCCAAACACGCGAGACGGTCGCAGGCCTGGCCGAGAATTGTTTGGGACGACCGCGGCTGGGACGGGAACGATTGGCTGAACGCGCGGGTGCGGAGCGCGGGGCGGGCGGGGCCGGTAAAGGTGGGGCCAATGCCGGGGGTGAGCTTCAGCCGCTAGTCTTGAATAGGAAGTGTGTAAACAATAGCTCCATCTGGGCATCAACAACATGCTCATCGATTATCAGGTATGAAAGGAAGGGAGTGGATTGGCATACGAGACACACGATACAGAGTTCAACGATACCTTGATCTTATTGAAGGGAGTGTTCATTCGTAATTATCCCCAAGTCTTGTTCTGGCACAGGAACATCGCGACTTTGCCTGCTTCCATGCGCATTCACCCCCTCCTCTAACCCCGTATCATCAGAGTACTCTGTGCTCAACCACCAAGGACGTCCAGCTACTTCACCATGACCAACGACGACCTGCCCATCGCGTTACGGCGCACACGCCGGAGCATGCCCGCACCCGCTCATGAGCCTTCACCAGCTTCAGCTCAATCCCAAACACCACGCAAAGCACCAAAACGCCGAGTCCGCTTCTCAGACCCAGGGCCATCAGGATCAACAACACCACGAACAACCCGCACCCTCTCAACAGGCCTCACTCCAATGATCAACCGCACATCTCTATCCCGCGGAGGCGCACCCACTCCATCATCATCCTCCTCACGCCGCCGTCACTCCATGCCAAACCCACCCTCCGGCGCGGCAACAGACCTGCCCCCAAGCGGCGAAGTTCACTTCCTCCCCCTCCGCCAAGTACTCTCGGGCCGCGTCCAGCGCCGTATCCGCCGCAACGGCCTCAGCGAGGAGATGAACACCATCACAGCCGAGAAGCGCGCCAGCGCAAAGCAAGCAAAAGAACAGCTCCAGACTCTCCGCGACCAACTCCGTCAAAAGGACGCGGAGATCTACGAGCTGCAGAATGCTACCATCATTCTCGACACAGAGCGTATCTGGGCTCTTGAAAAGGAGGTTGATGACCTCAGGAGCCAGCTAGCGGACAGATCTTCGGCGTCAGCGAGGCAGAAGAGCTGCTTTGACTGGACGCTCGCGGCGCGGGACCCGTTCGCCGACGACTTTATGGAGACGGATACCGTCGAGGCGGAGTCGGTGTGCGGGGAGAGGGTGCAGTATGCCGATGAGACGGTGTTTGGTGAGGCGACGATGGCGGAGATGGAGTGTAGTACGCCCACACGGGTGAGGTCTTCGTTCCTGACCCCGCCGCTGACGAGTCCTGTCGCGGCTGGGCCTGCTACGCCTTCTTCGCTTCGGGGGAAGCAGAGAGTGGTGGTTTCAGCGCCGGCGGACACTGGTGTGCAAGCGAACCTCCCTGATCCTGAAAAGCAGCGGCTCGAAGAGGAGTTGGCTTCTTTGAGATTAGAGATGTCGAAGCTCACCGGCACGTTGGAGTCATACTCTGCTCTCACCGAGCGACTATCCCAGAAGCTTTCCGCCGTTCCGCCGGAAGACACAGCGTCGGATTACTCCACCGCTACAATCGAGACGCAAATCGCAAGCCTCCTACGCACGATTTCTGACCGCACCGCCGCGCTGCAGGACCTCAACGGATCCCTCTGCGCCCTAGGCTTCCCTGGCTCCGACGGCGCCGAGATCGTGACTTCCCTCTCCGCCGCGTTGCGTACCGCCCGCCTGGAGCTTGAGTACCTCACCCCAGGCGAAATAATCCTCCCCCTCTCCTCCCGCGGCGCAGAGGTCCTTGACCTTCTCCTCACGCGCCTACGCGACCTCGCGAAACGCGCAAAGGAGGACGAGGCGTCGATAGACGAGTACCACGAGCTAGAGCTCTCTCTCCGCCAACAACTGGGTGCGCGGGTCGCCGTGATGGGTGAACTCGAAAGCGAGCTCAAACGAGCGAGGGAAGGACTTAAAGAAAAGGAGGGCCGCGTGAGCGAGCTTGAAGTCAGCGTCGAGAGGCTCAAGGGCGCGGTGGCGGGGTACGTGCGTGACATCAGCGAGTTAGAAGGCGTCGTAGGCAAGATGGAAAGCGAGAACCGCGACGCCATGGCGACCAAGGACGCGCAGGTTGAGGTTGGGAGACGGGTTCTGCGCGCCAAGGAAGACGTCATAGCGAAGCTGGAGACGAAGCTTGCGGACGCGGTGGCGCAGGGCCGGTCGTTGCGGAAGAGGCTCACCGAAGCCGAGGAAGCGAGGACTAAGGAGGTTGCGGAGGTGACGAGGCGAGGTGGTGCGGCGCTAGCGGTGCGGGATGCGAGGGTTAGGGAGTTGAGGGAGGAGTTGGAGAGGGTGAATGCTGGGTTGAGGGCTGCGCATGAGGGGATCAAAGATTTGAGGGTTGAGAAGAGGGGGTTGGAGGGTGAGATGGTGAGAGAGAGGGAGGCGGCGAAGGGGGTTATTGAGGGGATGAGGGGAGAGCTGGAGAGGGTTGTTGGGATGAGCCGGGAGTTTCTGGGACCCGGGGCGGAGGATGAGGCCGGAGCGGAGGGTGCGGGGCCGGATAATGGAACCATCGGCGGGTCAGAGTCCGGGGCGAAGAGAGGCCTGCTTGCGGGGGATTTGGCGCGGCGGTCATCGGGGAGGAAGAGGAGAAAGTATGACAGCGGGCTGGGATTCTTGGAAGAGGATGAGGTTGATGCATGAAGTTAGCTGTGCGAGCTATGGATTGAGGCATTGCATGCGTGTATGGCGCTTGAGAACCACTCACACAAGATTTAGAGGAGGGCGTTTTGGCGCATGTTCCAGTCGTTTGCCGGTAGTCGCGGCGGTATTTCTTTTGTCGGTTGAAGATTTATCTTTGCTTTCGCCAGGTTTGGGTAGACAAACGGGCGGGGCGTTGGAATGTACTGGGATTCAATTTCATCTCTTAGCTCGACGCATGCGCATACACGTGGGCCACTTTCGCTGAACACAGGTTTAAGCTTGCTTTAGCCTGGCAACAATTCAAGCTGACTCGAATGGAATAATTGTTACTGAATGTTAAGGAGTGCCGTTACGCTTCTTTATCGACTTCAGGTCATATCACGTTGCTCAATTGAGGGCATATAGTCATAGATGTATTATCGTCTACTAAGGTACTAGGCATCTCTTCATTATCACCTTGATTACCTTACTTCAGAAGATCTATTACTTCGATGAACGCTTTAAATGCAGCTAAGAGTGACTGACGTGATTCAATATCTTTGCTATCCGCATTCATTCTCATGAACAGGCCGCATCCGCATCATTCCACAGTCAACTCCAAAACCCCCCAACTGCCGCACCCACCCGCAACAACATCGCATTATCACATCTTCACGAGAGGTAACACAAAAACGGCCGCATGCGTGCAACACCAGCCCGCAACCCGCCAACATGTCCTACACGAATATCAAAAAACAGGCCCTCCCAGCCCCTTTTTCTTCTCGCAATCCGAACCAGTTTCCAATTCTATCAAAAGATCTAATTTCCCGACAAAATTCCTGAATTCTTTCCACGTCTTCCTCACCAGCGTACCAAATCCATCCTCCTACCGATCGTCCAAACGCAAACCAACTCAATACCGCAGAAATGTTACCCCCCAAAGCAAAATTCGTCCGCGAACTCGAGCGCAACAACAGCCTCACACGCAAATCCACATCCACATCCACAACCCCATCCTCCAAAATCTTCACCCACAACCTAAACTACACCTTCGCGGCCCCCTCAGTCCCGGACATGACCTACTTCGCCCGCATCCTGCACTACCAACGCTACGGCCACGACGGCCTCGCCTGCTCCGGCGTGTGCTCGAGTAATTTCACGCTGCCCATGTACGAGAAGCAGGGGTACATGTCGCCTTACCAAGTACGATACACGGAGCGCCCCGGCTCGCGGGGCTCGCTGAAGAGTGATAAGTCCTTTGATGTCGCGGGATACCGGCGGGAGCTGGCGGCTGCGGGGGTGAGGAAGAGAAAGTGGAATACGTTTTGGGCTGTTATTCTTGCGTTGTTGATTATTTTCTTTGGGGCGGGTGTTTTGGCGTTTGTTCTATTGTCGATTCATTTGAGATGACTGAAGCTGCGTATTAGTTTTGCGACGCAAAAATTTGGGCTTGAGGCGAGCATCTGTTATGTTTTTAGTTGAAGGTTCTCAAAAGTTTTACTTGGTGTATAGCAAGCGCTGCGTGTCTCTCAACGAACAGAAACTCCGATGAGTTCCCGGTCTATTAATTAGGGAGTTGGAGTTTCTGGCAGGCTTGCTTAATTGTATTAATCGATTGATTTGGCGTACGCTTGTTTTTGACATCCTTAGTGTCTCTTTGTTTGACATCTTTCAAGCCCCTACGCCCTTGCTGACTAAAGGTTTGTCGATAGTGCCCCTCCACCCCGCTTTTCCAAACCATCACGGCCAAGACTTCGACATCGCTCTGCGAAGGGTTCTCAGTCTAAGTGCCTATAAAGCCCAACCATTCGCTCACCTTACCTTGGATACATCAAAGCCAATCCTACCATAACATAAAACTTCAAAATGACGACCTCTGTCGGCGAAACCTCCCTTCAGACCCTCCTCTCAACCCTTACCACCGTCCTTCACCCGGAAACCTTCGTCTTCGTCACCCTTCCTGCGGAAACCCCACTACCGCCCCTCTCTGAGATTCAACTACTGTTTAGAGAGTCCGAAGGCGTCACCCTCATCACCACTCTCGATATCGCGACAGCCCGTAAATGGGATTATGCGTTCCCCTCAAAGATGATTACCCTCAACGTGCACTCGAGCCTCGAGGCTGTGGGGTTCATGGCTGTTATTGCAACGAGGTTGGCCACCAAGGGAATGGGAGTAAATCCTATCAGTGGGTACTATCATGATCATTTATTTGTTCCTATTGGCAGGGAGGAGGAAGCTGTGGCAGAGTTGAGGGAGCTCGCATTGGAGTCTGGAAAGGAGATCTAGTAGCTACAGATCAAAATAATCGTTGTCGTGGTCGGCAAGAGGTCTTCGCTTCGACGCGAACACGGGCAAGCAGCGCACCCCAGCGATGTCTCTGAGCAGCTTGTGTCTGAGAGAAACCTCAAATGAACGCTGCAGTTAATTGTATCGGGAATACGCCTGCGACCCCTTCGTCGACAATTTAGACATCAAGGGTCTGCCACATTTTGGGGTACATACCTCAAGTCAAATGATGAACGAAGCTGAGGCTTCCAGCACAGGGGTCACAACAAGCTAAGTGACAGGGTGCCAGCGCTTCAGTACGAAGTATCCTCGTTCAGCAGCTCCAGCTCTCGACACCATATTCCACTTTACCTGCGTGATCACCTGCCGACAGTTGAAGAAACGTCTTGCAGTCTCTTGTGTCGCTCTAAGGTGACCTTTACACTGGCTGACCCCACGCTGCGGGACGACGCGCCAAGGAAACAGAGATAGGCAGCAAGGCGGTATCGGTATTGGTCCAGGCTAGGCTGCCCGAGAGAAGCTTAGCTTGAACATGGGGTACTGCAGGTCTAACTCCAGAGGCGGACTATCAGCGTATCAATCCGCTCACTCTTGCCGCCGCCTTTCAGCTTGCCGCGATCATGCCGGGTTCAGAAACCAAGCGGGAAGATTAACCAAAGAGATGCAATCTAGCAAGTCAGCTAAATCATATGATAACATTGATCAAGTGCACTGGCTCCCCCACAGCTCCCGAGCAGCCAGACTTAGCTTTTCCAATTCACTAGCTCACCACCTTCTTCTCTTGATCCCGACTCTGGATCTCCTTCACTTCTGAGACCTTTCTCTTGGACATCTTATGACGATTAGCGAGACTTCACTTTCCATACTGATCCCACATGGAGCGATCGGAGCCTAGGCTTCCAAAGTCTCGGACCAAGCAGTCTAAATCCAAACCTGCGCCATTTACAAACTTTTACACGCCTGAAAACTCAGACTTCTACGCCAAGTTCAAGTATCGACCTTTGGACAAGATATATGGAGAAATTCGACTTCTCGATGTTGATCTCACTGGGGGCAACAAGCACCGCATGATCCATTCGATTTCTTTAGCAAAAGCCGGGAAATATTGCGCCATCTCGTATTACTCGGGCAACCCCAAGGACACAGTGCCGGTCTGGATCGAGGGCATAAAGATGAACATATTCTCCAATCTCGCCAAAGGAATCGAGAACGCGGCCAGCTTCTGGAAGAAAGGATCACCGAACCAGCCCCTGCGACTCTGGGTCGACCAGATTTGCATCAATCAGAGCGATTTACCAGAAAAGTCGCACCAAGTCAACTTTATGCGCGAGATCTACCGGAACGCTACACATGTATACGTGTCAATGCCGGTGAAAAAGAACCTTCGTCCCGTGTTCGAATGGCTGACAGGTCTTGCGGCGGCGAGGACGACGAAGGGGTACGAGCCATCATCAAACATGCTTTACGAGAACCCGCCACCAGAGCCAAACCTCTCAGGAAGATGGAGAGATAGGGCAAATCCAGAATGGCCAGCAGATTCCTGGGAAGACATTTACCGTGTGATCAATCATTCTTGGTGGAGCCGCTCGTGGGTTTATCAGGAATTCATTGTCGCCTCGGATGTCTTCTTCCTATTCTCTGACGAGGTATCCATGCCATGGAACCAGCTCCATCCCATCCTGTCTCTTTTCATGGAACTGGACACCGTCAATGCATGCAAGGAGTCGCTGCAAAAACGGGATCAGGCTGATGACACCATGCATCGGTACAAAATCGTTGCCAGCATCAAGCCCATGAAAGACCATCTTCGCAACGTTTTCAAGGCAGCCTGTGAGTGCTGTCCTATCTGCTTCTATGATGATCAATTCTCTGGTAAACCCTGGAATGTGTTCCGCTGTTACATCTCCTCATGCGTTTGCACAGCCCATGTACTAAAAGCTGCGGCGTACGCTGTACCTTGGACCCTCGGCTGTTGCTTTTTTCGCTACCCTTGCTGTCCCGGGTATGAGGCAAGGACGACGCAAAAGTTGAGAAGTAGAACAAGTTTAGTAGGAATGGATCACCATGTCCAGCGACTAAGGACAACGAACGCTAGTCGAGTACTCGTCAACAGGGTAATCGAGGGTAGAGAGCTATGGGAAAGGCAAAAGCATCAGATCAACCTGTCTTATCTTCTTCAGCACGCACGAAACACCGAGACCTCACAGCCAAAAGACAAGTTCTATGCCTTTGTCGGACTGGCCAACCTCGAGAATGAAGTGCCAATCCGGTACGAGCCAAGTTACAGCATACAGGCAGTGCTCATCGACGTAGCTCGTGCGATTGTGGTGCACGAGGACGCGGGCCTCGATATCTTGGCACAAGCAGGCACGGCGGCACACCGTCGAGACCTTCCCGAAGGCAAAGATTCACTCCCGTCATGGGTTCCAGACTGGGATAAGCGGGAGGATATCGAGAGGCAAAAGTTCATCGACGCCTTGGAGCTACCGTCCGCATGCAGCGCAGGCACAAGTCAGAGCTCCAAAGCCACTGTGGACTTTTTGGAAGACAGACACGGGAATGAGAGGAGAGTGCTCGTCGCTGCGGGAACCCAGGTTGATATTCTCGGAAGCGCCATCGACAGAGGCCATGACGGATTTCTACCTTGGAAGTCCTTTTCAAGCTCGGACGGCCAAAGAGTGATTATGACGACGAGTATTGCGCACATTGGGGATGAGGTCTGGGTTCTTGACGGCATGAGCTGGCCGGTCGTTTTACGAAGAAGTTTGGCTGACAATTCCACTACGCTCCTTGCCATCGCTATGGTGCGTGAAAACGGCCAGCCTCATCAGATCATGTTCGGAGACAAGAATCTTTCAGGAGAGGCGGCTGAAGTGGTAATAGTCTAAGCACAGGGTTTCACCTCAGTCGAAAGTCGCGCAAACAAAGAAGAGGTGCATAGAGCTTAAACAAAAAGGGAATTCCAACCTGACTTCATTTCCTACTATATATTTTGACATAACTCGTTGTTGTACAACTTGAGCCATGATCTCAACGACTAGCAACGAGTCTTTTTTCCCTATTGAATGCAACCCGCATGTCAACCGCTACCCTGCTGCTAAGCTGCAAGCTTACCATCTCTCGCTTCAAGCGTGTTGAGACTCGGCCGAATTCGAGGTGTCCTCTCCGTGACTCGCCAATTCCATTCCGGTATGGCCCGCTTCTTCGGGCAACATATACCCCAAATCTAAGAAGTGCGGCGTGGGTAGCAACGAGAAATCATGTTCTTCTTGATAAGCGATATACGCCGATGGAGTTAGGGACGGCATTGACGAGCCTCCACTAGATGTTGGCAGCTCTGATGAGAGGTTGTTCGCGGTGTTCGAGCCACCCATGGGCGCTTCATCAGGGTTGAAAGAAATAGGCCAGCCGGGGTCCGAGACGTTGATTCTGAAAGGAAAGATGTATTCGAATGCAGCCTCATAGCCTGAGCCCGTCGATGGTGGAGGACAGGGAATGATACTTTCAAATGCCCCCGTCGTTGATGTATCTGGGTCATCGGGTTCCGTACGAGCATCAAAAGTCAAGTCCGAAGGCTTGGAACCCTCGACAGACGTATACTCGATCTTCTTCCACTCCCCGTTGACTTTGAACCAGTTTGAGGACATATACTGTTGGAAAAGAGAACGTTGGGCCCCTCTGACAATGTCCATAATTTGGCTCATCGTTCTGTCGTCCAGCAGTCCAGGATCGGAATCATTCAGTCCGCTTCGAAGACGTCGAGGCAGTTCTCTATCCAAATATTCCGCGTATCTTTCAACTACACAAGCCTTTCCGTGCTCACAAGATTCTGACTGTCCAAGGTCTGGACCATATGAGTTTCCGTGGCGGTTCTTTTTGGTGGGAACAACTCACAAGGATTTGGTATTTCTTCTGCGTCAGGAAAGAGTATCAAGTACATTTCTCTCCACTTGTCAATTTCGTCTGTCAAACTGGACTTTTTTCGTAGCCGCTTCTCTTGATCTCCACTAATCAATAGAACTTGAAGAGGCTCTTCTGTCGGGGTGCATCTTCTTTCTGCTTGCAAATGTTCAGTCTTGTTTGACATCGATACAAATGGCATATGGCACCGAGGGCAGGATAGCCGCGGTCCTTTATGAAACCTGTAAATGTGTTCCCTTAAACAATTATCAGCGGGATACAACGCTTGTTATTTGGCCTACGTGGACTTACTTGACGTGACGAACCGAATTCCATTCACCTACAAAGCAGATCCGCCGTCGTGATGAGCTGATCATCTGAGGAAACATCTTCTTATAAGGACAAGCAAGTCTGAGTCTCTTGTTGGCGATCTTGTAGCCATCAGTGTCCAGTGATGGTAGGCCTCTGTTCGAGTTCCATGGATTGAGCGACATCTCAGGTGCTCCATGAACTGTGAATGCGTTCAACTGCTCTGGAACATATCCGGGGTGGGACTTTCCAAAGACTTCTTCGTCTATGAATGGCGAATCCGGACGGGGAATGCTGGGGAATATCATATCCCATAGTTCAAACCATTGATCTACTTTAGATGAGCCTCTTCTGGCTGACCAATACTGAAGTTCAAGTCTCTGGTATTCATTGATTCCTTCATATCCAGGGTCTGACGAGGCTGTGCAAGACCTTTGCATCAAGTGATGGTCAAGATCCTTGAGGGTGTCAAAAGTTTCCATGCAGATTATACAGTGAGTTGGCTGCACGTGACGTCGAAGTATATGCTGTTTGACGTATCTGATCTCCGAGAGCGTGGCACTGTAACATGAACGCTGCTTGTTTGGGTCCAGTTTCCAAAAAGGACAGGCAAATTGGTGTTGCGTGCTCTTTGACCTCGCTCTCTTGCTCATGGAGGCTTTGGGTTCCTCATCATCGCGGTCAGAGTCGTCGTCATTGCCCTGTAACCTCTTGCTTGGTCTTGATTGGTGGACATATGGCCTTGCCCTCGCGGATGAAGAGAGTTCAGAAGCTCCTTTTTGTGGAGCAACGGCTGATGAAGATGTCTGTGGGCTTGTGGAGACATGGCCTATGGTGTTTGTTTTCTCAATAGAAGAAATTCTAGAGTCTGCTATACAGGATAGCCTGGGGCGTTGCAATACACAGGATCTGTTGAATCGTTAATACTATGCTCGTAACTTGTGACTAGCCACTTATTTGGACTGGAATCGGAAGTCGGGCTACCTGAGATAAGCCGTTATCTTGGATAGTTGTGTCGCGAGGTCACATGACGCTTTCCACGTGCTTTTCCCGGGTTTGACCAATGGGGGAGTGTGAAGTGTATCCACGGCCATTTGGCTGTTGTACTGGGGAATGGCGAGCTGGTCGCGCCGAGGCCATGTGTGTTGATTGTTGAATCCGTAGTCTTCACGCAGCTGTCGTACTTGATGTGTGGCCCTGTCATCAAACATCATGGCTAGACACGGAACAGCCATGTTTGATCAAGTGCGGAACAGAACCGTGGGGGATGGGCTAGCCTAGTAGCTGTGTAGAATGACAAACGTGCCAGCAGATTTGAGCCGAACAGGATTTCTCTTGTGACCGGCCAAACAACGCTTCAAGGGAGCGGTATCGGCCTCGGGTAAACTAGCGCTTTCTTGTGATCTGGAGTAGATGGTAGGCGAGAAATCATGTAGAGCGCATCGCCGATGGGCTATTAGACGAGGTCTTTGATCAAACACGAGAGACACATTCACAAATGACGACAAAAGAGGGGAAGTCAAAAGTGTTAGGAAAACTGGGCTGCGCGTGAGAAATTGGGGAGCGGTAAGCCTCGGGTTGGGTTGACATGTGGCGTTTGTTGAGGGAATGTCACTGGACAGACTAGTTGTTAGCCTCAACCAATCACAATTACGATATGATACATTTTAATGACTATGGCTTGTAGTCTTACACTCCTTAGATACGTAGAGATAAAACAAGTCTGGGGACCGAGACATGTCAACGCTGTACGTCGTAAACTGGCGAGTGGGATCACAGCAAGCATCCTTGCCTCCTTGAGAGCATCGTCCGCCGATTCCATCAGACCATGACGTCGTGTAACGAGTCGAGGCTTGGGCGATTTACCCCTCCTTTTGTTAGCTTGGTCGCCTTGTACTTCAACAGGTGTGGGCAGGCTGGTGGCCTCTGTAAAAGCCAATCGGCGATGACGGCGAGTTAAGGAGTTGTTATGCGGCGGCTTCGACCGCCCGATTGGACCAAAGATGCCGTCATTTGGGGTTCTTTGATCAATCGGTAACCTGGGGAAGGGGCGCAGGTAGTGACGAATGATTGGCGAGCTCCTTAGCGGTTGAGCCAGAGGCCCTCGGACAGGAGAGAGACGACGATGGTCTGCGTCGGGATGCAGAGCAGAGGGGTGACCAGACGGATGTCATCGACCGAGTTGAAGTGCTGTTCGAGAATTTGGGGGTCTTTGGGACTCCCCTCTTTGCAAGCTTGATATATGTTCCATCATCGCTTCCTCTTCCACGCAGCTAATGTTCCTCACTCCCAATTTTTCATTCATAACCAATCATAACCGGGACAACAATACTTCGAATCGTTTGGGGCGTAAAGGCAACCTTTTCAGATCGTGAATACTCAACGCCTCAGGTAAGTTTTGGGCTCTTGTATCTTTCTTGGTGGACCTCGTCGACAGTCAATGGCTTGGGCCGAAGCTGGAAGCCACCGAGTGGTGCCGACCGAGTGGGCTAAAGGTGTGATGATGGATCAAGTCCCACATACGCACGATGCCATCATGCACGGCACGAGTTGGGACGGTACTACATCTGAGAATGGAGGCACGACGGAGAAATGATGAAGCTGACGATGGCACACTAGTACCAGCATTGTCGACTTCGTCAACTCGGCTACCGACAACCGTATAAAAAGAGAATATAGGGAATATAGCAGATGCCCTTTCAGATCCTCAGGGACGCCGGTGCCAACTTGGCCGCGTGCTCCAGAGGAGTGCGCAGGTACTGTCATCGACTGTACCGTCGCATCCTTGGACGAGACGGTGCTCCTCAGCAGGGTGAGGATGTTCAGCAGAGGGGTCGCGTCGCCAACCCTCTCGTCATCCTTGTCACAGAGATTCTGGCAACTGACATCTCCGTCTCTCGAGCAATGGTTGCTCAACTCGGCTTCGGCCTGGTGTACGGTGTTGCAGTCAGCGCTCTTCATCTGCCACTAGGGCGCCGAACTCGCTTGAGAACGGTTCTCGCACTGGCGGGTGTCGTGCCCGCGGCCGTATACCTCCTCCCTGGCGGCCCGACGCTTCATGTTGTGCCGATGATCATCATCTCCGCTGGGGCAGGGACTGAGATCCAGCACAACCTCCTTTTCCGGAGTCGCAATTGGACAGCCGACTCGGTCCTGCGACCTCAGAGCTCGGTGGAGTGCCTCTTGATGGCTTGGCTGATTGCCGTTGGAGGTAACGTCAAAGAAGTCAGCCACTTTATTCAAGCTGGCGCGGTGCTTTGCTTGGATGTGCTCTGTTCATCGATCGCCACCAGGTCTTTGACGAAGTTCTTCCTCCGAGTGGTCTTGGTGACGCTGGGGTTGGCGTATTTGGTTCACGTAGGTTTACCTCGTCGGGCTGAGGCGAATATGGCTGACCGATGTCTAAGCAATTCCTTCCTTCTTCGACACCTAAGTATTGAGACCGCCGAGGTGAGGTCACACGCTCTTCTCAAGGACAGAAAGGTATGTCGATAGTTGTCATCTCATCCGCGTCTTTATGCCAAGTATTCTGATCGTTGAAATAGCTCGGCCCAGGCCTGAAGTCCTGATGGTGATCGGCTTATTCGTGACACCCGGCATGGCTGTCTTGTACAAGTATGTTAGAGAGGTATCATCCCTAGATTGTACCGGAGGGTACTGGGTAAACAGAGTGTACGGGAGGCCGAGGAGAATCCCGCGGCAAATGGCGTTCTTCCTCTTCAGAAGAACGAGCTCCCAGTCCCAGCGTGGGGTGAGTTTAAGAAGAGCTTCGAGCCGTGGGTTGAGCAGTGGATGGACTGAGATAATCGTTGACGATTGCGTCGAAACTACCGTACAAGCAGCCGCGGCCGAGGTTTGGTCGGGAGTTAAGGATATGGGCGTGGGTTTAGTCTCGGCGTTACTGGAAGGATTTTGTATGGCATGGGTGTTTAAAGGCAAAGAGAGTATAAATGCAAATTAAAGGACAGGGCATAAAATAAAAACAGAAATTAGAATGGGACTTGAGAACATGATATGGAGCGTGATTGAGTTGTATAAGCTAGTATGAACCTGTTCTATGGATGAACTGTGAGTGTGTGCTGGAGGAAGATGCAGAAGCGAAGAAGTGTCAGGAAAGAAGCAGAGAATTGAAAGGAGATGGGAACCAATGTCATTAATTCAACACACATATCTCGCATTCAATCTCCCACATGTAGCCAGGCATCCATTGCCGTCATTCTGCGCAATCTCCTTCAGGCAGACAGGCTGCGAAGCGCACAGTTGTGCGCTTAGAGCTGTGCGCTTGGAATGTGCACAGTTGTGCGGTTGCGGTGCGCAAAAGCCGCTTCACCTTTGTGGATAGAGAGAACCCTGAGGGGAGAATTAGCGTCTTAGGTAAGGCAATCTAAATGCCGGTTGCTGGGATCAATAGGGCGACCTGGCACCACACCACCCCTTCGTGCAACTTGCCAACTGTGAAGATGCGCGTTGTCTGCTGTTTGGTGCAGAAGGCACTGAAACCAGTAAAATTCTGTAGTTACCGCCTATTTCCAAAGGTATCCGGGGATTTTCCCTGGCTCAATTGTCGACCCCAGTACCTTGGAGGGTCACGGAAATGGTGAGGTATGAAAAGGCACTACGGCACTGGTGCAAACGAATATGGTGTGGAGGCCATGTCGGAGCTCCAGGGTGCCCCCGAAATAAGCTAGGACGGACCCCCGTAGCCTCTCGGCCTGGTCGGGTGCCGCGTGCGGTTCCTCGCGAAGCCGGAAGAACATTTAGTGGCGAGAGGCGGACTGTCTCGGGGCCGAAATGTGGGGCAATGCCGGGCAGGACACGGCAACGACCATCTCCTTCGGCTTGGAATGTCTCGCTGCTACTTTGTATACTATAGACGAAACCTGTTATGATATTTGCACTCGCGTAGGAGAAAAGCCTTGGAGATTAATCTATCGTGACCGAGTTACATGTTTCGCACTGCGAGATCGCGTTACTAACGACGCGTAAAGACAGATGTGTTTGCTATGATCTATGACATTAGTACCAGCGCATTTTCGGTCATCTACACCATACCTGGCTTTTCTCAAGCTTCCCTCTATGACTTTTCTCGCGAAATCTTTTACGTCATCTGAGCAGCAGAGGCCTCATCGATGAAGTGCTCCTTCAACTCCAAGTGCTGCAACACAGAGCCATAATACGTGTACTGGCCATCCGGCAGCTGTACAACCGAACTCCGCAAGTCATCTCCCGCATGAATCCTCGCCGTAGCCTCCCAAGCTTTCACGATATCATCATCAACGACAACATCGTCCCGGGTACTCTTCCAAGTGATCCCAGCAAGCCCATTGTCGACCTTATACCTAGATATACTAAACTACCCGACCCGACCATTCCATATCTCCATGAGCCCAAGTTTCGGCATCCGGCAAGCCGCCATCGCAGCCAATAACAGCAGCGTCTTGATCTTTGTTCGCCTTTCAATGGCTTCATCGCTGTCGCCGCTCTCTCCAAGAAACATCTCGGCAGTTAGAGTGAGCGTCTTCAGTTTCGGGAAGTTAGGTGCGTTGTTCAGGAAATCATCGGCATCAACGATAAAGCAAAGCGCCAATTGTTCCACAAGAAGACAACTTGCACCATGGAGCTTACTGGTTCTTATACTTCAACTCCTCTATAGAAGACACGCGCAAAGTAGGGGGTGCTGGACCCTCCGTGTAAGATTTCAAACTTCTTTAGCGAAGGTGGAAGGCCGTGCCGGCACATGTCACTGAGGCCTAGATGTAATTATGAACCATTAGTCATCCCATGAAAACAGAAGAAGAGATCGGCGGAGATGGCATTCGTAGAGAAGACCTCCTACCTTAAGCCAGCGTCTCTCCGCTCCTACGCTGCAAAGCCGCCACCTCTCAAAATGAATCTGCATTAAGCGAGGAAGACTCTTGATGATTTGATCCAAAGAATCCGGTCACTGGTTGCGTGTATTTGCCCTCCGCAGAAGAAACTTGATAACGACTTGCACGAACGGTAACCATACACGGCTAAGCTTGACATCGTACGAATAAAGGGCCTTGATAGCTCTGGAATGTATCGAAATACTTTGACCTTGACCCATGTGGGCAATCCAGAGTAGGCTCGTGTGACTGAAGGGTTCAGACTCATCGTGCTACGCAAGAGACCCGGTCTCAAGATACACTCGAATAGTGATCGACGTCGTCCTTTGGCGTATAATTGTTATATCTGATGAGCCCCGCCAGTGTATGGGAGCTTATCTAGAGCGTTAATCCTTCTCCGGCCTGGTCAACTTCCCATGACGCCAGAGAATTCCATAGATACAGCGCAGCTGTTGCAAATGGGCTCCGTCATTGATTCCACGGTAAAGCCGGGCCATCCTCTTCGGGCTGAGGCTCCTCAAGGCGAAGCCAGATGTGCCGGACATAGCCGCGCCTCCTGGGGCTTTACATGTGCTCCCTGAACGAACTGAGGTCTTGCAGCCGCAGAATGAAGTTCTTGAATATTAGACTCTCGAAGTAATCTTGCCAATCTTTGGATACGCTGGCGTAGCCTGCTATGCCGCGACTGGGCGAGGTCGGTGAGCCGTAGGCATTTGCGACATGCTTTAAGATCTGAAGATGCAACTCTCGCGGTAAAGAGGCCCGACATGGCTTCGCGCCGTTCATGTTTACCTTCCGTTTTGGGATAGCGCCCGGTGAGAGAGTGAGAAGCTGTGTTTGGAACGTTATTGCTGGATGAGGAGAAGTTGGTAATGTTGCGAGTCCGCACTGTAGCCGCCGCAAGCCTGTGGGGCATCCCCGGCCTTGGCTGTGCATGTTCGGTCGTAACATGATGTTAGCATCCATCGACTCGTAGTAATTACTTTCCAATTCTTACCTACTTTGGAGTTAAAGCGACAATCGCAGCGCCTAGACCGCTAATCGTCGGCTGACGTTGATTTTAACCTGCCAGCCGACACAAGGAATAAGTCGCCCCACCCCCTTTTGGCCCCCCCCTACATTTGGCCCCCCTTTAATTTCTTCCTAACTACCTTATTATAATCTAACCTATAATATATAAACCACTATAATAATTATAAAAATCGTCTAAATATAATTCTTTTTTTTATAATTATTTATTAATATATTATAGTTTTATATACTAAAAATAAAATTAATTAGGCTTTTAATATTATTAAAAACGGTTTTTTATTCTATAAGGCCTCGATTAACTATAGGATTTTAAAATTAATACTTTATAATTATATAAAGGGCTATTAAAATCGAGCAAGGGCTTTTATTAAGCTTTAAAAACTTCTTTTTTAATAAGAGAATAGGCTAGCTAAATAAGTTTATATTTAATATAATCTAAATATTATATTAATATATAAATAAGTTAAGGAATTTACTAAGTAAGTTTTGCGTATTTAGGGGGATATTAATCTTATTAATAAGAAATAAATAAATACTTTTTTTAAAAAGAACTTATTAATTAAGGTTTAAAGAAGTCGTACTATTAATTCTAAACGTATTAATAAAGTAATTATTAAAGTTATTAAGCCCTGGTTTTAATTACTTAATATATTAAAGATCTTTAATATTAAATAAGTTAATAAGTATAATATAAATAAGACTAATATCCTTAAAGATAAGGGATTTAATAGCCTAGTTTTAAGTATAATAAAAACTAAAATAATACGAAAAAAAGAGCTTAGATTACGTACTTAGGTCTTTATTATTAAGTATATTTTAGTTAATAATAAAGCTATTAAACTACTAGTTATATATAAAAAGAAGATAGTATAGTAATAGTAGTTCTTTTTTAAACTTCGCTTATATTATAATTAAGAGTTTATAATAATAAATAATAACTAAACTATTAATAAGACTACCCTTAACTAATTAAAAAAGGTTTTTTTATTCTAAACTAATACTCTTATAATAAGGGGGGTTAACTTATAAAAAGAACTTCGACTATTAATTTTATATAAATATAGGAGTTATATAATAATTAAATTTATATAAGAGTATTATATTAATAATATTTACTTATTATTCTTATTATTATATACTTCTTATATCCTTTAGTTATTAAATATAATAATATTTAGTCCTATTAAGTTTATTTATAAAAAGGAGCTTAGTAAATATAAAATAATAAATAATTTTATTATTATTAAAAAGCGCTTTTTTTAACTTATTATAATACTACTCGTTTAGTTAGTTTAATAAAAAATAATATATAAAGTAGTTAAAAAATAACTAGGCTATAGCTACTTAATATAAATAAATTATTAATTAATTTAATAATATTACTTAACTTAGTTACGCTATTAAACTAGATTATAATTACTAACTAATTAATTACTAATACTAAAAAAAACGTTAACTAGGCCTTTATAACGTTAGTTATTAACTAATTAACTCTTAAAAAAGTTAGAGAGCTCTATAAGTACTTAAAGCTATTTATAAAGCTTAGTTTAAATAAGAATACTTAACGACTATTATTTAAAAAAATAAAAAAAGCTTTTAATAAGTAAACTTATTAATTAGCTATAACTTAGTATTAAGTTTATATTTTAAAAATAAAAGTTTAGTATATAATATTTAAAAAAAAGAAGAGTATTTTAATAAATTTAAATATTAAGTTCGCTAGTATTAAAAATATTTAAAGAGCTTAGGAAGACGTTAATAACTATTTTATTAGTCCTAGTTAATTCGTAAGGGTTAAATTACTTAGGGATAATTTTAATTATATTATTATAATAATAAAAAATAGTTAAATAATTAAGTATAGTTAGTAGCGATGTTTTGAGACTATGATGTTAAGGGGGG